AGACATCCTGTCATAAGCCACTTTCTAGATCAATGTATGTAGCAAGCATAAATCTTCTTCGCAAATTTGAGGCACTTTTAGCAGATCCGGAGGAGAGTAGAAATCTGATCAAATGGACTGTGGCCAGGATGAAAGTCAAGCTACTCGATCTAACATCCTACTCTCACAAAAAGCACCATCTCCTTCAAAGCAACTAGCGTATATCTTGCCGAGTAGGCTGAGTAGTAGCGACGCAGTTAAGATTATAGCTCTAATATCATTTTCTTCACATGTGGATAACCTACCCAGACTGCGAGCGCTTCGATGCCTTTCAAAAACTCCATAGAAGATTGCATAAGGAGTCATGTGCGAGAGTATTATTCAGTGCCTTTAATACCCCATGTCGAATTTAATTTTCGACAGCAGCCTGGCCACTTTTCAGTTACTGAAAAGCTGAGTAACCTCCATCACCATGCTATGAGACCACATTCCGCTCCAAAATGTTCTGTATGAGTTTCGCCAGGACATGTAGAGACTGGATTTGAGGGATCTCCTTCATCACTGGAGGATGTTTTCTTCAAGAATTAGGTTTCTATCCGAACCTTTCGCAGCGATGGCGGAATCTGATCTTCCTCGTGTTGACGGCAAATTTTCTGTCAGAATACTTTGCTTGCTGATGGTAGTCGATGTTGAGTTTTTCTCTTACCGGTTCCAAAACTTTTGCCTTTGCAGTTTTCACTGCTTGTGCTACAGTTATGCGAGCACTGGTGCAACGAATACGCAAAGAAAATGAGACCTTGTTTAAAGCAAGCCCCAATATCTTTCTTTGTCCTGACAGCATCCTGAACTTCTGGTTTCCACTATGCAGTTCCAATTGTATAACCAAGCCTCTTTAACCAGAACTAAATAGCAGAACGAAACCGCATGGCACTTTCAGCAGTCTAAACCTTCTTTCGATGCATTAGGCCTGTCTGTGTATCTGACTGACGGTGACATATCATCCGCAGTCTACTCACGCTCAATTTTTAAGGCGACCTACTTCATTTGGGCAGAAAACAATGGCCCACAAGTCGTGTGGATTGCCATGGATTCTGAGGATACAGTTTACCGAAAAGAGGGTATGACCTGCCGAAAACGGTGGCTGATAGCTGACCTATGTATTCAGCACCATCAAGATCATGTCAACCAGTGACCGTTTTCTTAGAACGCCAGGATATCAAATGATGCTACGTTACTAGAAGAACGGGTTCAAAATGATGAGACCATTTTCAAACATTCTTACATCATTTGAGCAAACAGGATCGCTGTTAATATCGATACGACGTTTTCATTTGGAGACGTTGACTGCAGCGTCTGCTTTGAATCTTCTAACAAGAGAACAAATCCTGCATTAGCTACCATTTTCAAAGGGACATCCGTTTCATATAGGAAGGATCTGCAATTTTACTTCAGGCTAGATCATCCTTCTGAAGCAGAGCTAGAGTTCGCTCGCATGAAGCATGCAGCCGGTATTCAGCATACAAATGTACTCCCTAAGAGCAACCCTGTCAACAATAATCTGTCAGCAGGCGGCTGACAAACATCGCCACACCCACTTTTTCCGATATGGCCGGATAAACTTCAAACCACAAAACTTTCAACCAATGTCAAAGTCAAGGACCGTGAAACTGCAGCTTTTGGTAGAATCGATTTAAACTATATATAGATGGTAGACCCTTGCTTCTTTAACCAGTTTCTACTGTTTCCCAATCAGAAAGAGCTGTTCCAGTTTAAGACAGTGATGCTTTGCTGCATCAGTCGGATATATCATGATTCTGATATCCATCACATGGTTTGCGCTGTCATCAGCTCTCGCCCTAAACAGATACCAAATCAACACGGCCTGCGAGGCGGCAAACGCCAACTAAAACAATTTTGAACTGAAAGCAGTTGGTTTTATTACGAAAAGACAGCGTACAGAAGTCGACATTTCCAACGCTTAACGAAAAAAAACGTTCTCAGTCCGTACGTCAGTTTTGACGGTCGTTTTTTCCTGTCGGGTTATGGTGACAGCAGCGACAAGTAACTTTTCCAAGCTTCCCGATCCTGCGCCAGCATCTGAGCTTGAAGAGAATACAGCCTGGGTCTAACACTTGCCCGAGGGGCCGTCCCAGGGATTTCGGCCGGTCATTGGAGCGAGTAGTAGCTGTTTCGCCATCTTTTCTGGAAGCATTTTTAAAACGTACTCGAACAATCGCAGCTGTGACTTCTTAATCTAGAGAAGCAGTTGCCGTACATCAAGGATATCTCATACCTCAGAACTCGGGAATCTTTAGAGATGCAAGAACCAAGTGGTTCACTTCAGAAAGCCAGTTTCTGCTGCTTGTATCCGGGATGACAGTTTTCGAGTCACGGCCCAAGACTCATAACTATAAGTGAACTTGGGGATGCAAATCGATCTGAACAAAGATATCATTGTCTTCAGATTCAGCACTGCTTTAGTCTTAACGGTTCGGAATAGGTCATGCAAAACGCCGCTTGCTATCTCGATTCGCCGGTGGCTCTTCTTCCCATTTCCAGTCATCAGTAAACACGACCCCGAAGTGCGCAAACTTCAGCCATTCCACTGCTCCTTTGCAGAGCTCAGCGGGCCGGGATCGAGAAAGCACTATGCTTCTAATTCTAGATACCTTCTGGCAGATGCAGACCATTGCGTGGGGCAGCAAAACCCTCCAGAGAGTGAAGGAGCTTAGATTCGGAAGACACCAACGAAACAACGTGATATGAAAACAGCAAACTTATCGTCTATACATCTGCTCTGATACATTCATCGCTCCAGCTGCGCCTGGCTATTCTCTCTATGTACTACCAAACAGGAGAGAGGACAGAAAGCAGTCTTGGCGGCGACTTAACGTCATTTACCCTGACATAGCACCTTCTATCAACATACTGTGATTGGACGGCTCATTGCAACGGGCTGTCGATCCCCATATGTCGTGGTACGGCCATAGCTTATTGTGCAGGATCCGGTCATAGACTTTCTCCAATTCTACAAAGCACGTGTAAAACGAGCGATCTGGCGCATGGTGAATATCTGGTCAGATGTTCTTCGGTATAATGGGGGGAGTTACACTGCTCCTCCTGAATCTTGGAGTCGGGTATTCCGCGATATCTATCTTGCAACAGCTTTGCGCAGACTTTATCCCGAAGGTTCATAAACGTTATACCCAGAAAAAATGGAGCACTCCAAGATTGACCCGAACAGAGCTACTGCAAACTCCTCCCCAACCTCTCCAATCTACTTGTTTTCTAAAGCTTTAAGAATCCCAGGGCTGATTTCGCTTATTCCAACAGCCTTTTCACTTTTCTGGATTTGTACAATTTCTGTGACTTTGTCCATTGAACGATTAATATCCGTTATCCGATGCTCCTCAGGTGAAACCGCTTGCGCTCACTCGAGTTTAAGAAGTTTCTCAAAGTACTATATAGACACTGAAGTATATCATTTCCCTTGTTAGGGCGTCCGGATTTGTCTTTCAACATCCTTACACTGTCCTTCCGTCCATCTCGGAGGTGACGGATGGTCTGCCAGAATGCCTAATTTGCCCTCTGAAAATTCGACTCCATCAGAAGTTTCAAGATCATATTTTTAACGTACAAGTATGAAAAAAAATACCTTATTCGGTTTTATAAGTATTTAGTTGCCTTCAGTTCAACGTGCAAATCTAGAGAGAATTCTGCTAATGCAAACGGCTGAAGATGATATGATGATCATGACAAACACACACAACGCGTTAATAACTATAGTCAAGCAATCGCAGTCGAGCCAACAACCACTGAATCAGCTGTTGGGCATCAGCGATGATTTATTTTGTCCTTTTTAATGAAGAACGCTTTTAATTTCATGCGTATGCATCTACCGCGTAAGATATATTGACAGATCGATGGTTTTTATAAACGGCATTCACCGCGATTCCCTGAGGGCCAGAACATTACCAATACGTTTTTTACCGTAGCAGTCAACGGACAGGTAAATTTAATTTTATTAAGTGCGCTAGACATACATAACTTATTAAAAATGCAATATTAAAACTCTGTTCAGCCTCCAATAGTGATAATATCATCGCAAACACAACGACGTTATTGCTAAGCAG